GGGGAAAAAAAAAAAAAAAAAAAAAAAAAAAACAAGTATACCCTATCCACCCTCACCTGTTTTGAAACCAAACCTGGACGACGCGCATGTCCAGGCCCGTGTCCTGCGACAACTGCTCCCTCACGTGCCTCGCCGGCTTCGGGCTGTTGTTGTACGCAATCTTGAGGGTCTCGAGCTGCTTGGCCGTTATCGTCGTTCTCGGTCTCTTGTTTGGCTGTTCGCCGTCTATGCTGCCCCCGTCCGCCAATTCTACAAAAACGCGCTCATTGTACCGTACGTTTTTTTGAATGGTCACCATACGCAAAACAATCGACAGGTCGCAATGTGTGCGTGTATATATATATATAATTACCCTTGGCCTTGGCTTGCTCGTAGTCGGGCTTGCAGACGAGTTTGCCGTCCTCCATGAGGTAGAACTCGTCGCCGGTGTCGAGTTGGCGGGAGCACATGGCGCAGGAGAAGCAGTTCAGGTGGTAAACGAGATCCTGGGCCCGACGGACTACCTGCTTGGGCGCCAAACCCTGGCCGCAGCCAGCGCACTTTGTACTGAAACGCCTGCCACACCAGCGGCCAACCAATTTTACCTTCTGATTATCGCTCGCTCGAGTTTTTACGTGTGCGTGTTTTTTTTTCATCATCGCGGTAATTCAACGATATATCATTGTTTGAAATTCACGATGCCAAGATAGAGAGGGGATGGAAAAAAAAAAAAAAAAAAAAAAAAGTTAATGCTTACTTGACGAAGTCGTCCTTGCAAAAGACATGGCCGTTGCGGGCGTAGCACTTGTCCGTCAGTCTGACGCCGCAGTCTCGGCACGTTAGGCAACCGGCGTGCCAGCACCTGTCCATCACCCGGAACACGTATCTGTCGAGTATCGTCTCCTGACAGCCCCCGCACTTTGGTATTGACGCTGCAACGACACACAACAATCATATCGTACCGCATCTTGACTCCAACAATCAATCCTATATACATATATACCATGTGATGTATATTTACATATTGTCATTATATTATTTCCTTTTTTTTTTTCACCATACCTCCACTTTCGTGGTTTTTGCATGGATGATGTTTGAAACAAAACTACGTGCCCCCGTGTATTGGCGACGGAAAAAGTACCTTCTTTACCTTCTCGTTCGATAATATTTTAATGTAAAAATACATTGTTCTAAAAGTATGTATATAATATATTCTAACTCATAAAAGCAAATATCGGCCGACTGTACAATGTGTATCGGCTCATCGCAGCGCGATAAATATAGTTTTGGGCACAAACAATTTTCACTTTACTCGTGTACGTTTTTCCGATTAGTCACCAGGTGTATCCCTCTGGCAATAGCCATGTGTATATGCCAACGATGCCCCCGCAAGACAATTTAGAGAAAACGACAGAAAAGAAAGGGGGTAGCGATGTCGCTCGAGGACCGTTGGTCAACTTACAGTAGAGCAAATCTGGAATGTTGGACGGGAGGCCGAGCTCGGCCGCTGGACGCTGCTCGAGCGGGTGCATCCCTGGACCACCACCGGCGAAACTCGGCGCCGTCGCACTATTATCTCCACCGCAACAACAATTACCACCAGCACAACCGTTACTACTGTTACTGCTGCTGCTGCTGCTGCTGCTGCTGCTGCTGCTCCTGCTGGAGCTACTGTTGTCGCAATGGTTGTTGAAGTTGGAGCAGTTGAGGGCGTCGGGGCGACAACGTCGCGACTCGGGGCTGCTCTGGGGCGTAGTGAGCACGTTGCCGGGGCGGGCGCTGTGGCCGCTCTCGTGCAACTCGAAGCCTATCATCTTGCCTCGGAGGTGACGGGTACCGAAAAGCTCATAGCTCGCCCTGCCCGTCGATCTACGTATAATTAAATTCCTTCGTGTTATCCTTGCACCGGCTTATTTCCTCCCTTCAACACACTCCACCCTATTATACAGTACACACTGTTGCGACGTACACCACTGGCGTATACAAAACTTTTTCTTTTTTCTTTCTTTTTTTTTTTTTTCCCGAACTCCGCGTCGACTTATCGGCCGTGTAAGTATCACTGCGCGAGGTGGGGGGGCGAGTCTTATCGGGTCCCTCTATGCGCCCGCACACACGCACAAGCTGAGCGTCGTTGACAGGGAGGCCTCCATTGTGTCACCCACGGCGCACACGGCCGTATAAATACACAGTCGTTCTTTTGAAATTTTTTCGGAAAATCAGCGCTGACCTTTGTTATCTCCGTTATACACGCCGTAGTCGCTCCGGCGTGTATACGTGTACTCCGCGTCACGCGCGTCGTTATCACTTTTCATTATCAATGGCACCGTAGCGCGTGCGTGTACACGCGTATATACACGAAACGTTCGAAGGTTAATCGCGCTTCTTTTTTTTTTTTTTTTTTTTTTTTTTTTCTTTTCTATCTTCAATTATATACGGTTATAGATCGGTGTGGCTGTCGTTTGACACTGCCGGCACTAATGTTCGCGTGTGGAGGCGGAAAAAGAGAGCCGAGCGCGCGACTTTCGGCGACGGTGGCACGCGCGAGACTGCCACCGAAAGGCAGGAAAGAGAGAGCCACGAAAACGGGACGGAGGAGAGTATAGACAGACACACATCGGGGCGCGCACGTGGCGAGGGTGGCGGCGGGGGGCGGGATGGGGTTCGGGCGCCCATTGGTCGGTGCGGCGAAACAACCCCCCCGCCGAGCCGTGCTATTGGCCGTCGGGGCCTCGAAGCCGCCCTCGTTCCACCAGCATGGCGCTCTCCCTCTATATATATACATGCCCATGGACTTTTTCTTCTTCTTCTTCTTCTTGGCGCGGGGTGTCATGGTTTGCCGATCGTGTGGTGATGAGGGAAAAAAAAGAACAATGCTGTAGTGGAGTAGGTATTTGGAACGTCTATCCGGGCCACCATAGTTTTCGCCCTAGCTGTGCATACTTAGTCCTCACTTGTATACTTATAATGTATATTTTCCAACCGTGGTTTTTTTTTCGGACTTTGATAGACTCGTGTCGTCCGCAAACACATCTATATAACCATCCCTTACGGAATTAATCATGGAATTAACCATGGGATTACGTATGGGTTCGTTGGTGTTTTAAACAGAACAGTTACGGGCAAACAACTGCATACACGCAGAGAGTGAAAGCCTTTACAAATAACGTTTACATTGTGCAATCGTTACACTTTATATCACCACGACATTTCCCTACTCGTGTATTATATTTTCGTTGCTCTTGGGTCAGTTGTCACGATTTACGCATCAATTGACCTTCCGATAAACGTGCCTTATCTTCCCAACTGCACGCGCGAGGTTTCAATCGTTTGCTTGAAGTACAACGATAAAAGAACAAAGAAAAAATAAAAATAAACAATAAAAAGGTTTGGATGAAAAATTCAAAAGGAGGACTCGAGCTCGAGTGCTCGTGTATGGTCGCTGATACGAAACGATGTAACGCTCGCGCGCTCCTATATTTCTATTGAGAAAGTGCGTATGTATACCGATCGCACGATTTTGTACTCTCGTAGGGGTAAATCGGATACACGTGTCTCATCCGTGCCGCGGACTTGTGAAACAATTTTTTCGCGTTCGTTGAGCCTCCAGAGAAATACAAGCATCCCCGAAATGGAAAAGATTGAGATGAGAGTTTTCGTGTATCGTCGGACAGACGATCGAAAGCGTTGCGATGGCGCTGTCCATCTCTCGCGGATACGCGATTCGATGCGAAAAAGAAGAGTACAATATATGCCTTGGCATGCGATAATCGGTGCAAGGTGTACATCAAAGTGCAGAAACCCAACAAAGGGACCGATGAATTCCCAAGTCGGTTTTTGCGCATCGGAAGAAAGGAGGGAATGAAAGAGTGCAAGGAACCGCGAGGGATCGGCAGGCGGTGAAAATTAACGACGGAGAAATTGAAAAAGGAGTCGACGGCAAACAATAGTTACATATAGCGCAAAAAATAGAGCGCATACCTATCGGGGGGTTCGCGCCATTTTATCATCTCCAACCCTCGAGTATCCAAGAAAGACTCCCCTACCCCCCGTTGGTGCATTCTATCTTTTCCGTGAACGGCAAAGACGCCATCCGCCCGAGCTTTTACAACTTTGCCGCCGACGCATAGCGATAAAGCTGCCGGGAGGGGGTGGATGAAGCGTTCCCTCGTTAATTAAGGTAGATTTCGGGCGTCCCTTGGTAAAAAAAAAACGCGGCGACGGAGGAGGATTAAAATTGAAAGTAAACTTTTTAATTTGAGCCGCGCGCCCGCGAGATTGGAGGGAGCGAAATTATTATCTTTTTTTTTTTCTTTCCTCACCCCCAACCAAACTCTGGGGGGTTGAAGTGTACATGGCCCGAATTCGTCCAAGCGGGGGGCGTTTGATGTTTCGCGAAAATTTGCGAGGCTCGAAAAGTCGTCGCTTCTGTATACAAAAAGGAGCGCGCTCGTTTGGCTCGACTTTTGAGACGATATTGCACGCAACCGTGACTAAAACACGAAACATCATGTTACCTTTTTTTTCGTTGCAACATCACGTAGCGCGTGGAATTTTTCGTCGTCGAGTGGAAAAAAAAAAATGGATATCATCCCTCGCCAATTGTACCACGCACCCGCGCTCCCGGGGAGCTTTTGCCTCTCCCCTCCGACCTTTTCCACGGGGAACCAGCAACACTGCTGTCGGCACGCCTCCGAAGACTATACATATACGTACAGCGAGTGGAGCCTGCAGTGCTCCTTCTCTCTCTCAATTTTCTGTGCGAGAGATTTGTCTTCGCCTCCTGCGCTGTAAGTTTCACCCTCTCGTATTCAAGACGATTTGGAGCCTCCCCAAGGTTCGTTCCTTCCTTCGTGTGTGTGTATGGGTGTGTAATAACCCAAGACTATCCGTAGGTCCCTCTCCCCCCTTGCATCGGCCATTGTTGCAACTTTCGCTCTTCTCGAGTACATTGTCCTTTTTGTCATTCCCTGTTGCAACTCGCATATATTATACCTTTACTTAAATAGCGTGATGCCCTACACGTTTACCAATAATGTACATACCTATGCACACCCGGGGGCAAGTTACACGTTTGTAGCTTTTCATTTTTCCAGCAAACAGCGCACTTACACCCTCTCTCCTTCCCCGCGCGTATATGTGGGTGCAAATTTTCCAGCCGCCTTCGCATATATATGTTTCCGTTCAACGAGCGCACCCTTACTCCACCTCTTCCGTATGCGCGTGGCAAAGGATCTCTTTCTTTCGTTCCACTTCTTTTAGGCGTACGGGCGCCCGTGTAATGTATACATGTATACGTGAATTTTCATTTTCTTCGCCGCTGAGTTGAACAATCTTCATACAGGTACGTACAAACTTGCCCCTGGAATTTATTCTCTCGAGAAAAGTAGTGCAATAAGACCGACGAGCCCGCATACGTATGTTTGCCAAGTGGTACAATAGTAAAATACCCTCTGATGTACATAGTGCACCAAATGTTTTTTTTTTTTTTCATTTGTCATTGCCACAGATCCATTTCAAAGTTCCCTAAACGAAATTTCGAGGGGGGATCGTCCTTGTTAAATCAACGAATCGGTATAGGCAAAAACCACATCTGCGACGTAATGCAGTGCAAAAGGCGTACAGCCACGGTACAACCAGTAAACGCATTGCGGCTCAAAGTGTATCGTTGCACAAAAATCTCCGTTGCTGGGCACCTATTCGGGATCGAATGGCCCGAAAGTCATAAATTACTCCAGAAGCGATCCCGAAAAGGGGGAAAAAAAAAAAAAAGAAGAAGGATCCCCTTCGAACTCCCGTGGATGATCGAATTCAAATCGCAGCCCCCGCTCACGCCGCAACTTTGCCCTGCACCCCCCTTTCGTTGCGCATACATTTATACGTTTATATACACATAAAATAATAACGCGAGCGCGTATGGTTTTCATGTTGTATGAGTATACGTGTACGTTTTGATGTATGTACGTGTAATCATAGAGCGCAAAAAGCGAAGGGCTTCTGTTGGCCTGCCTGCACGCGCCGATGAAAATTAATATTCCGACGGGCTTCCATGAATTTTCGTTGTTGCGTTCCATGTGATACATATATATATGTGCACAGCCTCCATTACCGCTTGGACCTACACGCGCAAGCCCAAATTGTGAATAATTTAACGTAACGCGCGACTGAGAGCTATTACATGCGTCTGCCGTGTGTGCCACGCCGGGGTACCCCCTTTTTTGGTTTGGAAAATAGATTTTTCATTGCCTACGGGAGGTTTTAAGCGTCCACTTTGTGGGTATCTACATACGCATGGATTGCTGTCTGAATACACATGTGTGTGTATATACAAATACGTTTGTGCGTGCAGTTTTTTTTTTTTTTTTTTTTACCTTAGAAAAAAAACAGCCCCCCCCCCCAAGATACAGACGTCAAAATTCACGACAACTGCGAGATACACGTATGGGTACGGAACAAAAGAAAGCCCAGCATCCCTTTCCCCCCCCCCCGATCTCTCCTATGCGTATCGTATAGGTAGACGCTTGCACGCGTATAGGAAGCAAAGGCTCGAAAAGGGTACTTTGTCGCTTGTTAATACACATATACGAGCGAAAAAGCTCGGAGCAAGGTGCCAGCCAAAACAGATGTCCCATTGTTCTAACCGCGTGTATATAAACGCGCGATATACGCGAACCTCTGTTTCCCCAACGCGACTCCTGGCAGGATGTGTATAAGGTATACGAATGTCATGTGCCCAACGATCAAAAGTTGCGAAGTGGAAGCCCGTAATCGCCCGCCTCGGCGTCATTCAACTCTTACATCTTTGGGTGTGCAGTATAGACGCGTGTACTTTCTTACGCAAACATAAATGTACATGTACGCTTGTTGCACTGTGTGACTTGAAAAAAGAAAGTAGTGAAAAGCCGTACCTATACATCGAACGGACCATCCATCAAGACCCTCTACATTTGCATGATAGTTCGGGGTCTCCGAGAATCAGAGGAGGTATACATATACATCAGGCACAGCATCTCCATATATTTGTCAGATTTTCTCCCTCGTCGTGCTCACGGTATAGGTAATACACACGCATACATACGTATACATTAAGTATATACGGGTGATGGAAAAAGTATCGGCAATAGTAGTAAAAGTCTACGCATAATCGTACGTCCGCGTCTAGTGCCAGTAGGGTATAAAAAGGTGGGGAGGGGGGGGGGAGAAATCGGGGGTGGAGGCGGATCCACGGCTCGAGCACAATGACAGGTTCCACTCATTGTCGAAAACCCCTGGAGCGTTTATCGGCTGGACCGACTTTGCTACATTATAGGTACACATATATATATA